TGGAGTACAGGGAATCAATTGTGGTCATCATTTACGATTTACGGCATGTCTCTTTTCTTCGTTAAACACTAGGTCATGGGTAACCATACTTTGCAAGTTTACTCCTGAAATCTGTAATACATGTTACCTTCGTTGAATATCATTGTTGTATGTGCAATATTCTGTTCTCTTTGTTCCTCTCTGTTTCTATTTCAGTTCTATTATACATTTATGCATTGTCCTGTTTCATGCTGCATGAACTACCAAATACATTCTGTGATTTCGTTTCAAAGTATAAATTAATGATTCAGCTTCACCAATGCTTATCTTTTTCAAATTTATCAAATTCCATGGGTCCAAAGAATTAAGTACGTTATGAGCATCTTTGTGGATCCACAATACTGGTTGCATTGTAAATTTGCTTTGAAACTGATCGTACTAAAGTAGGCTATGAATAATTTTAGTATGATGTTGGAGTTACGTTAAAGGAACTGGTATTGCAGTTATGTCCTTTATGGAGTAAAGGAAATTGATTGGAAGATTGGATGAGAGAACACTTTCATATGACATGCTGCATATATCTTATCTTGGGCTGTTCAGATGTGCCAAGGATTTGTAATTGAATTATATCATAGGTATGGCTATGTTTAAGCAAATTCCATCACACTCAGTATTGAAAATACTACCTTTGAAGGACTAGAGAAAATTCCTTTGCAGTTCCTTTTTCTTTTGTGGAGGTATGATAAATGTCATGCATAATATATGGTTGCAGACCCATGATTTATGCACTGTATTATTCCCCTTTTTGACCTAAGTTGTCATCATAATCGGCGCAGTACTCCAGCTGTTCCCTGACACTCTCCAGTCTACGCTTTGCTGTGATTATTTTAGATCTAAGCGGCATAGCGATTGGGGAGGAGAGGACATGAAGAACTTATGCTGGGACTTGTGTGGAATCGGGCATTGCTCGATCTTTTTTTATTATTGAACTTATGCTGGGACTTGTGTGGAATCGGGCGTTGGTCGATCTTTTTTTTTTATTATTATTGTTGGCCTGATCGGTTATCAAGACATGGGAATTATGAACAGTTGGATGCTTGAGAGATTAGATCGTTGAACTGAGCTAGTCACTCTTACGCTTACCATTTGATATGATTTTCATGATACTATCAATTTTTTTTTAAAAGTCTAGCAGGAATTCTGCCTATGATATAATGATATTTTTCCTCAAACTTTCGGGCATTTAAGAAATGCCTTGAACGGAACTACAGAAGGGTGCTGCACTTGGATGAACTGAAAACTATACATTCTGGTGTTTGAATTCATACAGTGATTTGTGCGCCCCTTAGCATCTTCCATATTGGCAGAAAAATATGAGCATTCAGAATTTCAGATTTAGGCTCCCATGTTACACAGGTAAGGACAGTAGGCTCAACTTATTCCATTTACTTAACACGTAGAGTACCACTTTACGTTATGTTCGCTTCGCTGAAAAGCCATGGCAGCGGATTCCATACCATCGAGTGACGCGCCTGTGCATGTCTGGTGGGTTTCGAGATTCATTCATAGAATGTAGGATCACTGGCATCTGTGTGTATCTGATATTTGTTTCATCTCTGCTCCTGCTCCGTAGCATCTTTCATACCGTAGAGCGACGAGCCTGTATGTCTGGTGGGCCTTTTCAGTCTAAATTATAAATCAAGTTAAACCAACTTCATCTAGTTTATATGACCGATTGCTCCTCTGTTGACCGGCTGCTGATCCTGGTCAAAGACGATCCTCCGCATCCATTGAAATCCGACAGCTGGGCTCGCTTCTTCTTCTTCTAGTCTTCGGCCTTGCGGGCACTCGGTGGCGGCGCACCGTCGGGAACCACCGTTTCTCAAGGCAAATAAATCACCTACAAAAAGTGAAAAAAGTGATTTATTTTGCCAAACACCACCAACTTATAAGTCATCCCTGCTTATAAGTTTTAAGTTGGTTCACCCCTGCTTAAAACTTATAAGTCACCCTTTTTCGCGTGGGGCCCATACCTTTAATGAGCTTATAAGTCATTTACAACCAAACAGACATGACTTATAAGTCACTGATTTTTAGTCACCTCACTTAATAAGTCATCTGACTTATGAAAACCCTCACTTTCCAGCCCGGGTCAAGATCGTCCTCTGCGGCGACCTGTGGTCCCGGAAACAGAGGCGCCGACTCGAAGGATGGAAAATTTTCCCCGAATGAAGGGAGGGTGCCAACCAGGGCACGGCCGAGCTTTTGCTGCAGCTATTGGGCTGCCTACGACCGGAGATCATGGGCCACGGTCCTTTCCGAGAAACAACAGGAGGCGCAAGCCCAAGAACTCAGGGTCGCGGCCCGAAAAGCTAGACTGAACAGAAGCTGAAATAAAAAAAAACATTTTTTAAAAAAAACAAAAAGTTACAGAAACTCATTCAAATGTTTTCCTAACGCAAAGATAAATCAAACAATCTATTCTAAGAAACGAAAATAAAGCATTTCAAGCATCTATCTAACATATGGTTCTCTTGTTTCATGACTTGTTTGATCCCTTCTCTAAACTTTAGAGCTCTAAAAATTTTAGAGCTCTAAAAATTTTAGAGCACTATAGCTCAGTTTTGACTTTTGAGATCTAAAACTCTAATATAATGTGAGCTAAAGTTTACAGCTAACTTTAGACCACCTATTTGGAGATTTTAGCTCTGAAGTTTAGAGAAGGGGATCCAAATAGGCCCTTAATCTACCACACTTTGTCATGAATTATAGATCGTTTTAGCTTTTTTAATACTTAACTTTTATTACACACCTAGATATACAATATGTCTAGATACATAATAAAAATTACGTATCTAGAAAGCCAAACCAACGAATAATTTAGAATGGAGGAAGTATAAAATAATTATTCTCTTCAACAAAAGGTTACAATATTTAGCTAATTGTTGATAGAAACTTTTAAAGCTTAGAAAAACGTTTTCTTTTATCTGTGTTTCCCAATCACATCCCAACAAAATCTAAAAATTTTGGAGTGTGAGCGAACTACTCGTACTGTACATTATTGCATCGGGAGAGCATCTCCAAGAGTATCCTATTTTTTTACTCCTAAAAACAAGTAGTTTTACAACTTCTAAAAAGATATTGGAAGAAAAAGAGGAGGTCGTCTCAAAAGTTTCTAATAATCCACTTCTAAAATATAAAAGACAATTTTACATCAGGAATTCTATAATATTTCTAAATTATCGTAACCACCTTTATATATTCTTTGTTTCTCGTACATTTACATCAGGAACCCTTTTCTACTCCTTATTCTTTCTCACATCCTTCCACCTTTAGATCGACCGACCGATACGCACGGAAAGCAGTATCTGCGTGACGGAGGAGATGCACAAAGTTACACGGAACGGGGGTGGATTTTTTAAGTGCGTAAATTTTAGGAGGAAGTATTAGGAGTTGTTGGAGAGGGATTTTTTTTCTTATCTTTCTCAAAATCAAGGATTAGGAAATGATTTAGGAAACTCTTGGATATCATAATCTTTGGTTTTTAGCAAGATGAGAAAAAAACCCCCTCTCCAATAACTCCTAGTATATCCTTCTAATCTTCTAGAACTTAGGAAAAGTCAACATGTTCCGTGTAAAGTTACGCGCTTCCGAGTCTGCGCCTATCTTCTCTCCCGCGCGTGTTTGTCGGCCAATCTAGAGGTGAAAGGTCGTGGAAAGAATAAAGAGTAGGAAATGGTTCCTGATACAAATGTACAAGAGAGAAAAATATATAAAAGTGGTTAGGATAATTTAGAAATAGTATATGATCTTTACGTAAAATTATCTTCTATATTTTAGGAGTGGATTATTACAAACTCTTGGAGATGGCCTTCTTTATGCCTTTCGATACTTTTTTAAGAGTTGTAAAATTTTATGTTTTTAGGAAGAAAATATTGAGTACTCTTGGAGATGCTCTTACGCTCTATTTGGATGCTAAGAATTTGAAGAACTAGATTTTTTTTCCATTTCTATATCACGGAGTAATAAAAATAGGAGAAATTGGATTCTCATTTTCTATATGGATTCACATTACAGGATGGTTGCCGACTACAGTGCAACGGTTGGTAAGGGACAGAAGAGGAAAGATGGAAGACCTCATAGTTCGAGGAGAGCAATATGGGCCGTTTGGAAGGTCGAAACGTTTCAGATTGTATCTAGAAATAGTAGAATCACTTCCAAACGGTAAAAAGAGCAAAACGGTTTCTGTCCATAAACAATTGAAACGTTTCTCTCTTTTTTTACCTACACATGGGAAATGGCCAGGGAGTGGTTTTGCATGATTCTGTTTCTTACTTCTCCTGTATACTAGCAATCGTATATTTTTTTAGGCAATTCATTTTTAGTGCAAGAAGCTTAAAGGGATTGTATTTAAGTTGGTCTTTGCCCACAAAAAGTTCTTAATTTTTTTTTTTGAAAAAACAGTTTTTCGTTAATCAAATTCCAACCTACTAGCCAAACGATTCTATGAATTGATTTTGGTTCACCGTTATAAACGTTTCCCGCATGAATCTAGATCCAAAATGTTTTTATGAAAATCTATATCCCTACCAAGACTTGACAAGGGTCGATAGCGTTGGAGTGGGCTCCACTTCCAGAAAAATGACATAGTACAAAGATGAATATAGGCTAAGAGAGACTAGCTCACACCTAGATTCAGGATGGAATCTCCTATTTCAGTTCTAGAGGGCGGCAAGCCAAACATGATTGTGGAATCAATTCCAGTTCTATGGTTTCTGCTCCAAATGAATGAGCAGGACAAAACAAATGATATCACTTGCAAATGATCGAGATATGAAAATTACTCAAGAGACTCACTACTGGATGCAATTCGATAGTGCATGCAAAGGCTTAATCTTATTCATCAATTTGGAAAAGCGTGTCAATTCTTGGCGTAATCTTTGATCCACCAGAATATTCTACACAACGAATTTGGAATTAGACAGTGACCACAAGTAGTAAAAAGGTGCTCCACTAGACCACTACACAATGAGCTTCCTGGCGGCTTCGGTGACCCCTCCCAGGCCGATTGCGGTGAAGAAATTAATGGCAAAGCGCGTGTTCTTGGCGCAGTCTCTGGGGAAGAGGGCGTCTCGCACCGCGGTGTCCTCGCCGTTCATCTTGTTGCTAAGCGCCCGTATCCCGAGCTGCTCCGCGAGGTCCTGGAACAGCATCTTGATGAAGATGCGTGACGACGACGTGGTGTCGTCCTCCGTGACCCTGACGCGCCCAAGGATGGCGTGCCACGGGAGCGCGTCGGCCGCCAGCAGGTGCGCGTAGAGCCTGGCGGAGGCGCGCAGCTCGTCGGTCGCCATGCGGTGCGCTGCCGAGTATTGCCCGGCGAAGCAGGCCTCGAAGCCGGCCTGGTACGCGCGGTCGATGGCGCACAGCCGCTGGGCGAGGCGGCCGTAGTAGCTCGTGTACGACTTCTCCTTCTTGCAGCACTCGACGAGCATGGTGCAGAGCTCCAGCTCCTGGCCGGGTCGCACGACGGACAGGAGCTTGTGCCCGGCTTCCTCGGACCCGACGCTCGACATGAGTGTGAGGTATATGGTCCGCCGGAGGTTGATTAGATCGGTGTCGGTGTCATCGCGGATGGTCAGCTCGGTTTCGGCGGACTCGTCACCTGATGCTTCGTCGTCGTCGTCGCTGCACTGATCCTGATCCTGATCCAGATCCAGATTTTCGTCTCCGGCTGATCCGAGTATGGTTCTCTTGAGGTCCTCGTACGCTGCCTCGTCTTGCGCGAAGGAAGGGCTGGGCTCAAACACGTCAAGATGGACCTCCGGATCGAGCTCATCACCATGCTCGAGCGACGAGGAGAGCTCCACCTGATGAGTCACCTGGTCGTCTGCCTCGATGAGATCCAGCTCTGCCCGGACGGGAGGGTGACCCCGGAACCGCGCTTTCCGGATGGCAAAGAGATCCTCGATCATGAACTGGACGCGTTTGTCGATGTCGCCGTCGTGTAGGATGCCGCGCAGGTTGTCGAACACGGCGTCGAGCCCTCGCGGGCACGACTCGCCGAGCGCGGCGCCGCACTCCCTGGCGAAGCCCACGGCGACCTCCACGGTGCCGTCCGTCGGCCGGTCGAGAAGCAGCGCGAGGAGCTCGAGCGCCAGCAGGTCGTGCGCCACGCCCTGGTTCACCAGGTGCGCCACGAACGCGGCCGAGGCCGCCAGCTGGTGCCTGTTGCCGCTGGCGTGGGCGCGCCTGACGCGGAGCACGAGGCGGACGAGGAGCAGCCGGCCGACGCAGGGGAGCCTGGCGTTCACGACCGCCGCGAGCGCGGCGAAGATGTCCGTGAAGTCCGGGCAGGCCGCCTGGGACCTGAGGAGGGCGCGGCAGAGGTGGCCGCGCCCGCGCACCAGGTTCTCGGCAAGCAGCTCCGGCGCCACGTGCCGGACGTTGGCAGCGGTGGCCTTGTTGACGAGGCCGGTGATGCTCTTCCTCAGCGCATTCCAGCTGCGGCGCTGGTATTCGGCGCTGCCAAACTCGCCGGCGTCGTCGTCTTCAGCGATGGCCCGGTACGGAGGGACGTAGATGCCGCCGCGGCGCTTGCTTGACGGGCGCGCGATCTGTTCCTCGTCGCCCGTGCTCGGACGCTTGCGGCTCGCGTCGCCTCTGCGCTCCATGTGCCCCTCCTCCTGTTGGTGTTTACCAAGATGAGATTGCTACGACTTGCTCCAAGCCTCCATCCGATATATATAGGAATAGGAAGGGAAATCTGCCGTGTTTGTGAGAGGGGTGTCCTACTCGGTCACGGTGCAGAGTCAGACCCGGCCCTGGGGCAGGGCGAGCGGGGCGGCCGCTCGAGGCCCTCCACGGCTCCACGCCAAAGGACCCCACCAGGTGTGTATGTGTGTATGTATGTATGTATGTATGTATGTATGTACATTATACTATGGCTTTTGGTTTAGATTTGTCCCAAAAGTGGATGAACTTAACGTAGATAGGTTGCACGTACAGTACATAGGCGGGAGAAAGGAAGACATGCTGGGTGGCATGAGATGATATGATTATGTCCAAGTTTCTTGGTGGAATAGGCTTTCGAGATATTGAGCTATTCAATCTTGCTTTGCTAGCGAAGCAGGCTTGGTGGATCCTTGTGGCATCTCTGAGCGTCCAGATTTTAAAGGCAGTTTTATTTTTCACAAGGTGATTGTTTTAGGACAATCTTGGATCCGCTCCCTCTAAAATATGGTGACCAATTTTGGATGGCAGGGAAGTGCTTCAGCTTGGCCTGATGAGGAGAATATGGACTGGCTACCGACTGACTATAGCGACGCACGTGGCTTTCGGTTAGACCAACATATTAAGAAATTTTGAAGTCTATTTTTCTAGAAACTATAAAGCTCATTTTGTAATCTTTATCCGCCACACGCTTCCGCGGAGGTTTGCGCAGAGCGCCTTAAGGTGTTCTGCTGGCCCCACGATGTGGAGCTGCATGATGGGTGAGCACCTAGGCGTCCCTTCAGGCGGTGTTGGCCTCGCTCTAGGGGGCTGAGTGGAGCTGCTCCCACGCCATCTTCCGCACGACGCATTCGTCACACCTAGGTCCCTGGCCCTTCCTTCTCCGCCGAGTTGACGAAAGCAAACTGGACATGCCTCTTTATCTAGGTAGTCGGAAATTTGTCTCCGTGATGGACTGCTCCGACTGGTTCTTCTTGTTTTGTACGGTGTAGATGGACGCAACGCGGACTCCGCGGCATTGCAGGAGTAGGGCCACGACGCGAACCAAACGACGGGCCTATTTGGCAGGTCTATGCCTTCTGAAAAGTGCATCTAGCCCTTTAGTGGGTTTTGATTGATTGAATGACAACATGTTTAATGAAAGCCAAAATGATGTATTGTTGGAAACAATCTAGTTCAAACACAAAACAACAATGCAAATGTAATTCATGCAAGGCTTATTTATTGTAGAATTTTGATGACTTATATGAAAGCAAGCACATTGAAAGTAATTAATGAGACAAAAGGGATTGCATATGAAATGGCCTCACCTTTTGAAGCTTGCTACATGAAAGACAAGTATACAAATGAGTTCAATTGATGTCTTTGCAATCAATTCATATTTACTTGAAGAAGTCAAGTCACATGCTCAAGATGGCTATGCTCAAGGAGAAAATCAAATTGACATGATTGAAACCCTCACTTTTCGAAGATTGAAGACAACGGCATTTTGGTTCAAGGGAATTCAACTCAAGCGGTTTAAACTCCATTTTATCTTTGATCTTGAGTAAATAGGTATGCCGTACTATTAAGAGGGATGCATCATGTTGATAGATGATTATTCCTAAGTGCTCAAGCCAGCCCATGTGATATTTGAGAAGTTGAGAGACAAAATAACTAACTTGTTTTTGCTGGTCTGGCAATGTCCGGTATTGAGTATCTATCTAGCCTCGGTGAAAAACTTGCTTTCTCACTAAGGCTCGTCGGGAGTTTTGGCACGTTCGTCGGAAATTCAGACATCTCGCTTGTCACTGACAAAGTAACCGTAGGCGCTGTTTGATACCGGACGTGTCCGGTATTGCCTAATGGTCACAAAACGGCTAGTTTTTCAAAGAGGCTATAAATATCCCTTAGCCTCCACCTTTAGAGGCTGTTGATTCTACTGACCTTCAGACATATTTTAGAGCCTTGAGAACACTCTCCAACCCTCTCTTAGTAAGTGATTGATTTAAACGTGCAAATCAAATTTAGTGGGCTGAGTGAAATTCAAATTTGAGAGCAAGCCACCTTGAGCACTTGTGTATATTCATTGATCTCATGATTCACATTTGTTACTCTTGGATTCTTCGGCCCAGATGGCTAGGCGTTGCCGGAGAGCATCCAAGAGCTTGTGGTGTGCCTCTGAAAGTTTGTAACGGTTCGATTTCACCGCCGCAAGGGAAGGAATCAACTAGCGGAAGGAGAAAAAAGGAGTTGGAAAAGACTCCGGCTAGAAAGGCCTTCGTGGTCCTCTAGAGCTGACCTTTGTTGGGTCACTCGTAGCCCTCTCAATGGAGAGTAGGTCTCGACGAAGATCGAACTTCGGTAAAACATATCGCGTGTCTCGATCTCTCTTTTCACTTGGTATTTGTGATCTTTTTGTGTTGTTTGAGCTTACTGACAGGTCACAAGAGGTGCCAACAACGGATTGGAAGAGAAGTCGATTGGGGCAAGTCAGGTGCTAATCCAGCAAAACCGTGTATACCGAACGTGTTCGGTATCATTACCGGACGTGTCTGGTATTTGGATCAGTTGTACTCAGATCGTGTATATCGAACGTGTCCAGTATTCCCTTCCTGTGCTGATTTTATTTATACCTTGATCTAACCATTGTGGTGCAAGGTTCTAGCACATAGATATTTCTTATATATCTTGATTACCCTGTTGGCTTCCTTGTGAGGGTTTTATTTCTCTGATTAGGAGTTTCTAAGTGTTTGGAAACTCCAACTCTAATCGTTTCCGCATTGTGAAGGGTTGAATTTTTAGAAACACCTATTCACCCCCCTCTAGGCAGCATCCTCAGTCCTTTCAATTGGTATCAGTGCAAGGACTCACTAAAAGCTTCAACGCCATGAGAAAAGGATGTCGACGCCTAATGAGTCGGAGCTGGTGCTTCTCCAAAATGATGGTTCAAACTTTCTACCTTGGTCAATTCATGTACTCAATACTTTTAGGGCTATTAGTCCTCTTGTTGAGCATATTGTGGATGCAAGCATACCTCTTCCGGTAGTTGATTGGAGCAACTACAAAAACATTCCAAAAGAGAAAGAGATATGTATGCACCTCAATGCTCAAGCAATTAATGCCATGTTGAGTACATTGAGTGCAAAGGTTCTAGATGAGGCTATTTTCAAAGGACAACCACCTCCGAAGAGTGCTTATCTCATTTGGACTAGACTTGTTGATTTATACAAAAAGTCCAAATAGGATGATGCTCATGAGTGTGAGTCAATGGAAGACATGTCCATTGAGTCTTTATGCAGTGGAGAAACCTCAAGGAACCAACATAGCATCAAGCCGGGGCAAACCTTGCAAGCCATAGATGCAGTGTTGCCTGGCTGCACATACCGGACGTGTCCGGTATTGCCGAGATAGCAAGCTGATCTCTGCGACATTGATCAAGCTCGATGGCGACCAAGTGATGAGTCAACCTCAGCATCTCTTGACTCTCATCACTTGTGTCTCATGGCCAAGAAAAGCAAAAAGAAGAATACCAAGAAAGATCAAGAAAAGGAGAAAGCACAAGTGGATAATCAAGACATAAGTGATGTTGAAGTTGAAGACAATTACAACCTTGATCATCTCACTCACAAGGATAAGTTCATCATCATGAAGATAGTTGAAAAGAATGATGAACTAGAAGAAGAGAATGAGAAAGAAGAACAATCACTTCAAAAGCAAGAAAAGTTTCTCATCTCCAAGTTAGAAGAACTAAAGGCATTGAATGAAAGGTATGAAAAATTGTCATTTGAGCATGCTTTGATTACTAACTCCTCTTCTAGTGTGACACAACTAGAAAAGGAAAACTTTGAGCTCAAGGCAAGACTAGATGAACTCTCAAGCAAATACAATGTTCTTCAAGCTAATCATGTTCATCTCAAGTTCTCACATGAAAAGTTGGTAGAATCACACTTCATGCTTGAGGTAGCTCATTAGGTTGTGATTACATCGGTAAAATCATCTCAACCTCTCTCACACACACTCACTTGTACACCATCTCAATCAAATGTTTCTTTTACTAATGAGTGTGCTTCTCAAGCAAGCTAATCTTCGATTGAGCAAAATCACATAGAGAATAATGAGCTCAAAGAAGAAGTTGAAAGGCTAAGAAAGGATATGATTCGGTTGAAGGGTAAGGAGGAAGCAAAACCTTCTCAAGATAACCGTGATCACATAGTGAAAAAGCTTGAGAAGGGTTCAAACCTTGCTCCCTCCAAAACTCAACAAAAGAATCACAACTCAAGCAATGTCAATACAATCAAGAGTAAGAAGCATGGAAAAAGATTATGCTATAGTTGTGGATTGTATGGACATGAGTGGGCTATGTGTCCACACAAGAGTTGGGCCGACAAGGTTGAAGCCGCAAATCAAAAGGCTTCTATCAAAGGGGCCAAGTAAAAGAAGAATGATGAACCAAGTGCTTGCCTCATATGCAAGAAATTGGGCCATCCCACCAAGAATTGCCCCTTGTACAAAGAGGCAAGAAAGAAGGTCCAAGTTACAACAAGAAGATGCTATGGATGTAATAAGTCGGGGCACATGGTTGATGGGTGTCCCAACATGCAAAACAAGCAAAGAGCAAATCAAGGACGTATTTGCTATGCTTGTAGGAGAAAGGGGCATCTAAGCTATGGTTGCTCAAATGGTAAAATTCCTAAGCAAAACACATTTGATCATAATGATATGCTTAGAAGGGCCATAAATGGAACTAGCACTAGCAAGGTGATGTGTTCACCACAGCTAGTGCCAAGGCTATTTGGGTACCTAAGCACTTGTTGACTAACTCAGAAGGACCCAACAAGAGTTGGGTACCAAAGTATGCTTAGAATGTTGTTGTAGGTACTTAGTGGTGAGATGAAGCCTTTGGGGTGGTTGAGCAACCAAATTGGATATATTCACTCAATCTATCAACCAATTTTTATAA